TAACTAAGATAATAAAAAAATAAAAAAGCAAAATGTGAAGATAAAGTAACTTGCCGAGGTAATTAAAAATTCCAGCCGGTTGCAACGTGCTCAATGCACGACTACAAGCGTATGCTAATTAAAAGTAGCAAAAAATAACATAAAAATTATCGTGGGAGAGTATCTACGCGTCTGATTCGCTTGAACACTTTTCGTTCCATACTTACTTGAATATTGAGCGCACATCCAATAACTGTATAGCATATGACATAGCGGAAGATATCTCTTTGGCACGTTTTTCCTAAAGAATCAAAAATAATAATAATTTAACTGATTATTAAATTCTCAATGCTATATAAAGACTCACCTTGGGTAATGTTTCTTTAAGTTTAAATGCAATAACACCCAAATCACACATGGCTAATGCAAAGGCACACAATGAAGGTGCCACATACCATGATTCCCATGATTTATTCAATGAACGCGCAAATAAGGCACCAATTATAGGACCGGCGATGAAGCCTACTGAAAATGCGACACCCACTAATGCCATACCAAACGAACGTGTCTTCACACTGGAGACATCAGTGATGATGGACATGCATAGCGATATATTGCCTTTGCTGATACCGCCCACAAATCGAGCCAGCACGAAAAGTGCGAAATTACTTGAGAGCCCCCAAAGTAGATAGGATAAAGCAATACCAGCCTATTAAAGATGAGTAATGCATGCATAGGTATAAGAGTTTTCCAAATTTATTGTTACTCACCCCACATANCCCCAAAGTAGATAGGATAAAGCAATACCAGCCTATTAAAGATGAGTAATGCATGCATAGGTATAAGAGTTTTCCAAATTTATTGTTACTCACCCCACATATAAGCATTAAAGGCTTGCGGCCATAGTAATCCGATAGTCCACCCACAATGGGACTTGCCACAAATTGCAAAAAGCTGAACATGGAACCCAGGAATCCGCCATACAGCACCGATGTATATCGTTCTGGTGCGCCCACCTGCTGCTGGAACCAGTGTATGCGCCGCGTCAGCAAGTTATACAAGCCGGAGCTATCATTTTGTCGATAGTGCTCGAGCAAAGAAGGCATTAGTGGCAGGATCATGGTGAAGGCGAGTAAATCAAATAGGAGCGATATGAAAACGACCCTCACCATTGACCGTTCATTACTTTTGCCTGCTCCACCATCGGTCAATTCTACGCCCTTCAGCTTGTCATGGCCTTTACTCTTAATCGCCTCGGCACCATTGTT